GGTGGATTCCTTGGAGCATCTACCATGGTGTTCAACGTGGGCGACCCACCCACATTTGAGGCGTGTGCAATTCGAGAGGGGCTTTCCTTGGCCATGGATTTGAACCTAGACAGAATATGTTTGGCATCCAATTGCAAGGGTGTGGTCGAAGAGATGAAGAAGGGAAGTGCAGCTACTTATGGCGCAATCATTCGGGAGATCAAGCAACAGATTTATTATTTTACTTCTTGTAATATAGATCATGAGTTTAGGAGCTCAGATGTTGAAGCTCACAACTTAGCGAAACATGCGTTAACACTTGGACTTGGCCGCCATGTTTGGTTAGGCCAGCCCAATGGGATTCCTTTCATCCTTGTAAACGTTGTGACGGCTGAATAAAAGTTTCGCGAGGTTGTCTAAAAAAAACCTCAGATGAAAAAAAAATCTTTTGGCGGTGAACGGCTGAAAAAATCGGAGAAACGTACCTTGCTTTATTAGTAGGTATAGAGGTATAGATATAGATATAGATACAGATATAGAGGTATATATATATATATATAGGGAAATTTCATACTACTACCGGGGGTAGTTACCCCCTAAGAATCCACCGTAGATCTCAGCTTCCTGGATGGAGCGTGAGTTTTCTTGTATGTATCGTTGCCAATGCTAACGGGCTAGCAGAAACTAGCACCCGACCCGTTTGCCATTGCTTATAATTTATTTAATTTATTTATTAGATGCTTATCCCGTCGTTTCTGTTGTTATCCCAAATTTTGAATCAGGCTAATAACCGACCAAGACTATTTCCTACGCAAAGCCATCCTTATCCAGCTATTAAGAACCTAGGTTGTTGTTGTACGCGCTAACAAACTTTTTAGTATTAGTATCTGCCAGGCCGTTTCTTTCATCGCCGGCTGGCGCCCGTGGATCAGCGCCGTCGCAAGTATTTTTCTGCCGCCGGCAAGACGGTGAAGAGAAGGGCTGGCCAACGATGGTCCGATCTGGTACGTGATGAGACAAGAGTTCCTACGTCCATGCAACTACTAATCCTTCTTATACATCGGCCTACAATGACTCGAAGCCTCATACGTACACTGAGTATTTTTTATCCCGTTGTAGGTATGGGCAAGCCCGGCGGTACCGGTAGCAACTCTAAATCTGCATTTAGGCGAGCTCTTTCGAAAGTACGTACTAATAGGCAAGAACATGGGTCTGCCAAAAAAGCTTCCGGTGGCTCTCGCTCAAAGAAACGGAGCTCCGTCAAGAAGAAACCATGGAAGGACAAGTTGTACACCAGGTGTGCTCCTTCTATCATTATAGATCTCTTGGAAGACCTAGGT